ATTATTCAAAACTTTGACATATTTTTTTAATAGATCGATTGCATTAGGACCCACCGTTTTTATTTCCATTAATATAATTCCAGCTACACACCTAACCCCCTACTCCCTTAACAAATCTATAAACTTTAAAAACATGTACTCTTTTTTTGTATTTTTTTACTATGCGCACAAACTTTTTCTCATTTACTGCTTATTTTTTATGACAATTTTTTCTTCTTCGTTTGGAGACTACCAGCAGCAGCAGCAGCGCACCAACATCACATTCTCATCAACGTCATGACCGTCATCATTAGCGTCAACGCAAAATGGGAAAACTAACAGTGTTTTTCACTTAACTTTTTTTTCAGTTTGGTGTAATTGATTTTTTGTGCTTTGCGCTTGCTGAGTTTTTTTTATTAAACGCATACGATTTTTTCTCAAAGATTTCCAGTTGAACCTCTTTTTTTGTCGTGGTGGGCATGCAAGCCTAACTTAGCTGGCTACTGACAAACTGACTGACTGGTCACAATTTGCCATGGTTGTTGATCATGAAATCCTAATAAAATCTCATAACATGGTAATGATGCCCGCCCGGTTTGTTGTTGTTGTCCATCCATTCAATTGCTATATTAAACGGGAGGCTAAATAAAAAAAAAACAACTTTCACATTAACATATGGGGTGACCATGGTTAAACGGACGCGGACCTACTGTTCGTTCGTCCGTCTCGGTAATTTCCAATGTATCGATTCTCTTTTTTATCAAATTTGATTTGCTCATTTTTAGGTTCCATAGGCTATTAATTAATTAGATTTGAAGAAAAAAAACGTGAAACTGAGACATAAAAAGTAAATGTTTTCTGCCTAATCAGGCATTAACCAAGATTTTTATTTGGCTGGTCACTGAGATTTTGTTCGAAATTTATTTGAAATAATTTTAATGACAGTTATCGATTGTGGCTAATGCAACAAGATACATTTGTTTGATATGTTTTCTTTGGGTGTAGCCTGAATTGGAAACGTGCAATGGCTTTCTTGAAGTGATACAAAAAACAAATCACGACATTTTTCCGATAAATTGTCAATTTGGTTTGTGGTTATATTTTAATTAAATGAAATTGTTTAACAACAAAAGGAAAATAATATGCATATCTAAAATGGGAGGATGTTTGGGGCTTACTTAAGCACATCCGTAAGAAAACTTCGATAAAAATAGTTTCTTCAACATCTCGGAACATCTTGAAATATTTGTCGGAGACCCCATAAAGATATGAATATACACTTTACCTTTCAGATTAAAATACTATGTCCATCCATGAACTCATAGGAGTGATTTTGAATAAGAAACGTATCGACCCACATTTTCGTATCGCCGTCTTCGTAAAAAAATGTGTGTTTGTTCATTGTTTTGATTTTAAAGGCCACTCCCCATTTAAGGCTAAAAGATCCCGCACGTTTAAAGAATTTCTAATGGTCCTAGGAGCATGTTCCAACAGAAAGGTCTGCAAATCGTCATTCTATGTTTTTGAAGGCAAAAACGTTAAATATAGGTCCATGTTTTAAAATGGAACTAGATCCTATATTAGGTTGTTTCAAAGCCTACGACTCAAGCTTTTCTATAAGATGACCTCTAGCCCTTCTATAAGAAAACCTCCAGCTCTTCAATAAGAAGTAATTTCATGGTCTTAGGCGCTTTTTCAAGCTGAAGTGGCTGAAATTGGTTATCAGGGTTCTTGCTGGGTAAAAAAGAACTTTTTCATAGAATTTTTTTAAGTAAAGTTCAATGATTTGATATTGCCAGTCCCATATAAAATATCTAGTTCCATTGTAGGTACTTTGATGATCTAAGTCACATTTTCCAACCGATGTGGATGTAATTTATTATTCCGGATACACATTTTCTTAGCATATGATACCCTATACAACTACCACGGAACACTAACTTTATACGGATCTATATTCCGTGCCTGGGCAATATTTCGCAATATTTGCACCCTCCTGTACGATTAGAAACTCTTACCCTGGCATATTTTCGTAATATTTTTTCCGGTGTGAAGATTTACGCCATAAGATTCAAATTTTGTCAGTTAACACAGGAAGTCTTGGTTAATTTGACTATTGACAGCTCTTCGAATTATTTGGCCACATTCCCTTTCCCATGTGATGTTCGGCTTATTATTGTGGCCTATAGAGCGACTTAAAAAAACTCACAAAAACTGAGCTTTTGATCCATTTCATCCTCTAATTATCATGTGATTTTAGGCTTCGTCTTTGACCGTAACCGGAACTATGTGTAAAATTTGAAATCGATTGTAATGGTATTCGGAATAGGTAGATATCTGTAAACATTTACGTATAACTCCCACATTCGAGAACATACAACAATATAATTGGTATATATTTTTTCTTTCACATTTTGAATTTTGTAGAAAAACCTTCGCCTAGTTTCATGACCAAGGCATCTCTTAATGTTTTCAATTTCTTCAATACCATTTTTTAATTATAATCAAATATTTGATATTTTTCATTACATTTGTCTCTTTTTTTCCTCTCTCCCATTCATGGATTTAAGCTTTTGCAGTTTTTACTATGATTAATTGTGTACAAAAAAAAGAAAAACTTCAACTATTGTTGATGTTCATTGACTCGGTCTTGTGTTCGAAATCAATTCATCTTTCACTTCAATATTACGCGGATGTTAAACTTTCCTTTTTTTAGCAGACAAAGAAATAAAGAAAGACAAAACGCAAAAATGAAATATGTTTCATTATAGCATCAGAGAGATTATGAAATAGATTTTTTATTACTTTTTTTCTTGAAATACTTTTTTTGCACTCTTTGTTTGATGAAATTAATTTTTATTGTGGGTCATCAACATGGTGTTTAAACAGTTTTTACATTTGTCTGTAATTTTTGGTTTGTATTTAATTACAAGCGAAATGTTTGCTACATTTTTATTTTTTTTTAGTATTTGTAATTTAAAATTATGTAACAAATATGGAGCATTTGTTTTTCATATGAAAGTAAAAAAAATTAAACTCGTGTATACTTAGCTTCGGTTTTGAACCCAACCCAACCTAACCCAACTTTTCTTCATTGCAAGATAAGATTTTAAGAACATAAAATTTCACATAACGCCTTTGGGAAGTAATCAATAATCACAATTTAAATAATTGTGACATATTTGCATTTTAATTACAAATGTCAGAAATGGGAAACAGAGAAAAAGGTGCGCCACAGAAGATCAGCCATAAAATATTTCCCATCAAAACAAAATAAACTTTCAATTTCATATATAAAATTATGAAATAAATAATTAATTTATTTGCTCACATACAAAGATGTTTAGTATGTGAAAATATTCACATATAAAAAATATTCATTGAAAACACCTGCATTTCAAATCCCTCCATGCACAACAGAGCTACTACATTTGACGAGAGATACGGAGGAGGCCAATACTTGAAATGTAAATGGAATTCCTAAGTAAATACATATGTACAAATTTATGATGACTAACAATACAACACACATACAACGTGTCATGCATTTTTAGTATTGTTGTTGTTGCTGCTGCTTGTTTGTTTTTTCTTTAGTTTAAATAAGGTTAATTTTGTAATAAATAAAATTCAAATTCAATATAATTGCCAACTTGAATAAGTCAAGCAAGCCACAATTACGATTTGTTTTGTGAATTCTTTATGGCCATCCATCCATCTATCCATTGATCGCTGATAAGTCCGGTGAACATGAAATGACCATATCCGTTCATAAGAAATGTAAGTGATTTTTTTGTTTTCATTGTATTCACCAAAACGTGACTTAGTCACTTTCTTTTATGTTATGGAATGTGTTGTAGATATTTTTTACGCTTATTGCAGTGGCCGATGGTATTTAGTGTATTTTAACTAATTGATAAGATATTTGTTTAGGTAGTAGGAGTCATTGGTAATGACTGACTAATATCCTTTAGTCCCAAATGACAACATAATGATTTTTATTAGTAGTTAATGTTTAAAGAAACTAATATTTATTTTTTTTTAGTTTTAAAGCAGAAACTATTTTAAATAAAAAATGAGGTATTGCAAAAAAAAAGAGTATACATTCTATGAGAAAGGAAGGACTTCCTATAAAATGGGTTTCAATATTAAAGAAGGAAATGTGTTTATTAATAGAATAGCAGAACACTTATAAGAAAACCAAAATGTCGCATTCTTAAAGTAGAACAGAAGCTACTCTTTTTATACAGTAATAGAAGATCTAGTAATAGATAAGTAGAGCTTATTTTTCAGTAAATATATGTACTGAAGTTCTTCTCATAGTAGATTAGGAAGTATTTTTTTCATAGAGGAATACTTATAGAAAATCAAAAGATTTCTTTATAACCGGAATGTCTTCTTATAGAGAAGAAAGAAAAAGAAAGGGCGAAAACATCTTTCGGTCGTGCCGAACATTTTATAACTAAAATATCTTTAAGATACGGAAGTATCAAATTACAGACATGAAATTATAAATTAAAAAATCTCTCGGGACCTTCAAAATATTGGAAAGGAAGGGCCATTATATGTGGGTTATGTAATACACGGGCCTACATTAACTATTTTCAGGGAGTAACCCACCATGTACCCGCAATGCTAAGATTCAGTTACTTCGGCTGGAAAGTGTGTCAAATGTTTAAAATGATGCTGAATATACATTATATGAGGATAATGTCAGAATATGAACCTATATTAAAAATTCTGAAATGTTTTTTAACCACAAAGAAATCGGATTGCCATATTTCTGCTAATTTAATTGGAATAGACCATGAAGACATTTCAAAGTGGCGGAACCAATATATGATGGCTATGTTAAAATATGCACATAATTATCAATATAGGATCTATATTGATAATTATGTGCATAGATGCTTGGATTGCCAAATTCATTTCAATTGGAAAATTGACCACATGGTAACATTAAAACATATAATGGGTCAAGGTCAAAACATGGACCTGTATTGAAAATTTTCTTACTTACTTACCTGAATTTCAGGCGGTCTTTTGCGCAGTTTTTCCAATTTGAAAGACCATATTTTCTTAGAGTAAGTTTTTTCCCCGCCAAGAACCTGGAATGACAAATTATTGTCACATAGATTGGAAAATGTTCCGCCCATTAAAATTCTTTACATCGGGCCGGAACTTCATATAAGCATAATGTGAATGCAGGTCAAATCGGATATTCAATTCGCTTCAAGCTACAAGTTAATGAAATATTGACCCCTCGTGGGGAAGGTACCAGAAATTTGTCATCTTTACCAGAAGGAGTGTACCGATATTCCCCATCTTCGAACTCGAACTAAGTTTGGAATGAATATAAAGATGTGCAATGTTTGAATAAAATCGATTAATCCCTTCCAGAATTATCGTAAGCACCAGCCTGACGGACGGACATTTGTAAATCGACTTGAAATTGTTTGAAACGTTCAAAGGAACATAGGGTCTAAAACCAATATTTCGATGAGACAAAGTATAACCATAAGGAGGAGGGTATAAATGTGCCTAGGATTATTGAAATACATAAAATATGGCCAAGCCGGGCCTATATAAAATATGGAACAATATAAAAAAATTGTACAGGTTCGTGTTGCGATAAGTTTACAGTCACTTCCTTTGGAAATGTGCCTAGAATCATCAAAACTATTTTAATGAGGACTTTTAAACGGGACTATGTTTGGGGGCTATCGTAACAGATGTCTGTTATCTTTCAAGAACTCGAAATGCAAAAATGCAAAATTATATCTAAAATATTCCGACCTCTATTTTGATCTAAGCACAGGGAAACTTTTTGTGGTGTAAAAAGTAAAAAAGAAATATATATCCGTTTCACATTATTGCAATTAACGGTATTACCGATCCCATGGTACCAGTTTTTTTTTATCAATTTTTTTCTTAACTTCCTTAGAACACCATCTAATAAATATTTATTAACTAAATTAAATATAAATTCTCAGCTGTTTCTGTCCATTGATTAAATAAACACACATTTTTACAATACAAGTTTCGAACTCTCTTAATTAAATACTTTAGTCACCACACCAGTATCTATCTATTCATCGGTACTCTCTTCGCAGTCTATTATGGTGTAAACATGACAATATTTGTATTACGAATTGTTTGTCTGTTTGTCGGTCGGTCTACACAATAACATATTGACACAAATGACATACTTATTTAACTAGTCCGACCGACAATGCATTTCACACTTTTTGAAAAGACCGCAATGGTTGGATGGATGGATGGATCGATGGATGAATGGAGTGCAGCGGTTCGAGTATGGGAGGGAGACATGCCAACAAATTAGTGTTAAATTTAATTTAATGTTGTCAATTGTTAAGACATTTCGAAATCAATTTTCATTCATATTTAATTTAATTTGAAAGATAGCGAGGGGATTTCTTTAACTACTAAGGAGTATGTGTATAATTCAGTAAAAAGAAATTTGTTATGACAAGTTTTTAATTTTCTTGTATTTTTTATCTTTTCAGGTATGTCTTCAATTCAATAAAGATAGATATCGTAAGTAAAACTATTTGAGTAATAGTAAGAAATTGAACATCTTTCTGGCACTATTACAATTATACAATATTTAATGGTATATTGCATCTTAATATTAAATGAGGTGTTTTCAAATAGGCCACAACCCGACTCCCTTTCAGAAAACGACTCCGTCCGACAATAGGCTGTTTCAAAATGCCTCGTAGCCATCATATATATAATTTAGCCGCCTACACAACATTGATTGATTTATTAGATACACAATTTATTAAGTAGATGCCATTTGTTATGGGCAAACAGTTATTACTCTTCTTGTGTGATTTTTCCCAATAACACCCTTTAATGTTATTCATGTTTTACGGTCCCCTTGGATATTGCCATTATGCTTATAATCCCACATAAATAATGTTTTGTTATCACATTTATTATTATATTCAACATTACAATCAGATAATATCTATGTTTAATAGCGTATTTTCCATAAGCTTGAACTTCGGAACACCTGTTCAAATTGAATCAGTTCAAAATAATATTTAAAAAACACAATAACAATTGCACACATACTCCTGAAGCTTTAAATGTGAAAAAGTATTGCGGAGTAATAAAATAATTAACACTGACATCTTGTAGTTTTCTGTGTCACTAATGCAGCAACAACAGCCGCAGTCGCAGCCTTTGTGCCGCCAGCTATTCTGACTCTTTATTTGCCCATCTGTCATCCAAACAACTATTTTCGCGTTGCATGAGACAATAGGAGCAGCAACTATTCCACATGTGTGTTGCTACTTGTATTCAGTGTAACGTACTTCATTTTGGCACAACTCCATCATGGAGTGTGATTGGGAGGTAGTGGGCACAGTGGGATAATTTAACGAAATTTATTAGGAAGACAAAATTTGGAATATTAGTATATACTCTCATGAAAAGAACCTCAACATATTCGACGGATATCTCATAGAGTATATTATAGATCAAAATAAATTTCGAAATCTATTTAATCATGTCTGTCTGTTGCAATCACGACTGCTACTTTTTTGGTATGATGCTTGGTGTTGGAAATACGATATATGGATCCCCGATAAAACGATACCGGTAAATGTTCGGTATTTTGAAGGTTTTTTCTAACTGAATTGACTGCAGTTTGGCATTTCTGTTTCTTGGAGGATGAAAAACATCTGATCACTTTTTGCATAAAGATCCGGCCGTAATTTAACATTCCAATACTTATCGAAATAAAATGTACAATGTTTTTGGAAACTACAATCCATGTCTGGATAAAGAACCTCCTTATTTTTCAGCGTGCTTATCGGTCGAAAATAGAATGGTTTCTTAAAAATACTTTCCCTAGGTCCGCCATTTTGAAATTTGAAATTGTTGTCATTTTAAAGAACCGAGGTCAATAATTCTATTTCATAACAATGATTTGAAAGTTGATTTTCTTCTAAAAATCCATTTCATGGAGGTTCGTAACACCTGCTTTATTTGTTTAGAATAATATATTCTGTGAAAATTTATATTTAGATCCTCACCGTTCAATTTTCATCGAAAATTTGTCTTGAAAATCGGCTACTCATATTTTGAAAACGCCAAGTTATTCCAGAATACCCCATTGGTTTTAGTTATAGTCCACACTGGATCGCTTGAATAGAATAGATTAATCGTATAGAATCGATTACCATTGAACTTTATCTTCCTTTCGATCTCAAAATTGTATATGGAAACTTGGCCGGACCATATATTCATATTCAATATATTCACAAATATATATATATATTTTTTTTTACACATAAATCTTAGTTCATTTGACCCGAAACATATTGACCAATTATCGTCAGTCTTGGCCATCCTTGCCCGCTCAGGTATTTGGATAGTATTCCTATATTTCCTTGTAATTTCGTGAAGACGGACCACAAATGTTTTATTAAAAATGCTCTCCTATTGACCCCTGTACAGGTATTAAAGTACTGTTAATTAGGAGTTCTTCAAAATATTGTTTGGAATTAGAAAAAGTCCAGTCTTATCGGTTTTTCAATGTCCCTCCAAATTAGTTTATTTCAGGACCCACTGTATATGTTAACACAAATTACAAACTTATCATGCGAGCTGTCGGAAAACCCGCACCTTTCGCTACACTCCATATAAATTGTCGCCGTCATTATGCCAAATAAAATTGAGTCATACCCCCAAAGCGCAATTGCAGGAGAGAATTGAAAAAAAATTGAAGGAAATTAAAGAAAAAATACACATATTAACTGCATCAAATCGGTGGTGGTGAAACGCAACATTATTACCCAAAAACCGCAAGCATAGAGATACAGACTTTGGCGGTAGGTTGCTGACTGGATGGTTGGGTTGGTTGGCTGGCTGGCAACCACCCAATCAGACCAAGTTAATGATAATTGGGCGTTATGGTGGCAGCCGACAAAGAAACACTTGACACACTCACACACAACACAGCACACTCAGTCAGTCAGTATTGCATATGACATACGACACAATGTAAATGCAGCATTGCAAAGCAAACGTGACGCATTATCGTTGTTGCAACAAGTGCCGCAGCCATGGCGAGGCAGGTCAAATTGCATGCAGCAGTTCCGAAAGAGTGTGTGTGTGCTCGAGGTGCCATACCTGTTTTTGGTTTGTCTGTTTTAGCTAATGATTTAACAAATTAATTATGATTTACATGTAAGCGAAATTTTAGATTAAGACACACACATCGACAGAGAACAAACATTCATATTAGCGACATGCATACTAATTTGTTTATGACCCGCAATATAGCCGGAATGCTACAAGAGTAAATGACCACACCGCGTCCTCCTTTATTGCATTTGTTGTCTAATAGCCAAACTTTCCGTTTTCCCTTTTCATCTACTAAGTGCAATTTAGTTAGTTAGTCAGGTACTTGTTTGTTTCTATTTGTTTTAAGGGTTAGGCTAGTCTTCAGTTTGTCTTCAGTCGTCATCCAACAATTTTCATAATTTCAGACATAATTCAACTGTCTTTGCGTGATCATTATTTTAACCGTTTTGTGTCGTCTTAGTCGTCGTTGTCATATTTTTTCTGTTTACTTGATTCGTGCAGTTAATTTCGTAAAGTTGAAAGAAAGAAAAAAGGCTTAAAAAATAAAATAATAATTGAAATAAAAAATACTACTTAAAAGATCAACAATAGCTTTTCCTTGTTACTCCATGCTGTTGGTTCTTATTATATTTTGCTAATTTATTAGTGTTTTTTATATATATGTGTGTGAGTGTAATTTTCATGTAAACAATGGCTTATGAGATAAGTGTTTAAAAAATAATAGGAAGAAACCATTGGAATAAAGATCAGAATATATAAATATTGGTAAGTTTTGCTCGTATCAAAGTAATTCAGCCAAAATGTTGATAGTTAAAATAAGAACTAAACTTTTTTATAAAAATAATGAAAATTTGAACCTCTGAGCTGTCCTAAAAATTATTTGATTTTTAAATAAAATTAATGTTTAACCAATTAAAGTAGTAACCTTTTTAATAACCCTCTCATCATCTTCCTCTGCAAATGTGCGTGATGACATATTTATTTTCTGTTTGTTTTTGTTAATCATATTTTTTTTTTGTTTTTTGCTTTTGCTAAGTACTTCGTCTCAGTTTGTAAAACAATTATTGTCTACATTGACTGTAGAGTACTACTACATACCGTTCGTTGTTCCCTCCGATTTTTACCCGCAGTTATATTGTCCACATAATAATTGGAAGCGTCATCACGGGCATTGTGACGGTACTGATTCATAAATAGGTTTATTCACCTCTCTTAGATTTTTTGTTGTGTTTTATTTATTTGTTTTGTTTTCTTTTTCTCCTCCACTGGTTCATAACTTTAAAATCGGTTTTACGTTATGATATGCTGCT